TCATTAACAAAACTTTCACTTTGCCAGCAGACTTATATCTGGACTCCAGTGGCAGACACCTGGGGCACAAAGGAGGGCCGTCATCCCTCCAATATTTTGGAAGACAATGGTCTTTTATTGTAAAACAATGGGGGAAACGTGATGTCAACTTATTAAAACGATAGGTTGCCCCCAATATTTGCCCCCCAAAGTGTCTGCCCTCCAGGACTCATCCTTCTAGGCCGGGCTCTAATAATCAAATTGTCAGCATTAACTAAACAAAACTAGCAAAACTTTTATAATAAAAAACTATACAGCAAAACAGAAATTTCAAGAATCCTATATATTAAATATAAATAGAAATATATATTAAATATAAATATATATATAACAATTCAGCGAATAGTGTTTTATACTCCCATGAATCTTCAGCAAGCTCTATTCTACAAAAAGGCATTGATTCTATAAGTATTTTCTTGTCCTTTTCCATCAGAATTTCATTCTGGCTTCCTTCACCACCAGTTATTACCAGGTGCCTCAGCTTTTTACTCCTTGAAATCATCACTTTTGTGACTGATTTGGAAAATAATCTGAAGGTTTGTCTACTTACCTTAAACTCGTGGAAACAATCATCCAAAAATACCATGAAAATTATTGTTTCAAGATTTTGGCAGCTTCTCACTATGTTCTCAAAACCTGTCATCACAATTCCATATTCTTGATCTCTGGCTAAGACACTGAGCTCAAGATGAAGTACTTTGATCAATCCTCCATGAAGCTGAATTCCTTTTAAAATTTCAGCATGATGAGACTCTGTCTGTAACTTGAAAATTATACACAGTTCCCTCAGAGATGGTAGAATAAGTTGAAAAAATTGTCTCAAATTCTCAATCTCAATAAGTGTGTCATTAAACACCAACTTCAGGCTTGTGAGATTCTTCAGAGTTGCTAGTGACAACAGTGCACTATCAACTAGGTCTGTACTTAAGAATTTCAAGCCTGTTTCACTACAATCATATATTCCAATAGACTGGATATTCGGACATCTGCTGGCAATGCATGTTGCCAGATTGTAGGTTATAAATGGCATGTAAAAGTAAAGAAGCTGTTCACCATAGTGATCTGCAAGTTCTATCAGTTGACTGTCATCATAACATTGATGAGCAGGACTATTTTTATACTGAAATGCTATAGAGGAATGAATATGTGTAACAGCAGGGCAATGCTTGATGAGCAATTGTGAAACAGTTTCAGGAAATTTAAATCCATATGAATTCAAAGTATCAATTCCAATCTTCTCTAATTTCAAGAAAACTCCCTTCTTGAGGTACTCCCTTAGCAGCCTGATAATATCTGGATTCCATTGTGGTGCTCCGAAATGAGCCAATGGAAGTTCAAGCCTTGGCCTAAAGTTTAGCTCTTTGAGTTGGCAGTCATCTCCAAACATTTTTGAAAACAACACAGATGCATGATTTCCATCTTCTGAACAAGCTTCAGGGTGACCTGCAGCCATTCTCCAAAACCAATAGGCTGTTGTTGAAAACAAGTCAAACGACTTCAAATTTGGAAAGATTTTTTCTTTGTTTCTGAATGCATGTGTTAGATCTTTAAAGAACAGAAAGGGGTTCTCTACGGCAATACTCAGCTTCTCTAGGGTACTTTCATGGGAAGCCATTCCTAGCAATAACGCATTTCCCACTTCATCCAAAATAACGTTCGTTTTCCCTTTCTTTTTCTGAGAAGTTGCAGCTGTCAAGTCGTGAAATTTATACTTGACAAATAGATTTTTTACCCCCTTCTGGCCTAACAAAAGTTTCTCGATCAACTTGCTATGAGTAGAATTTATATCTAGATCAAGATACTCTATGCCATCTGTAGAGCTAATTAGATCGTTTATTAATAGTGAAATTTCTTCCTGTACTTTGAAGTTTGCAAACCCCTTCTTCTTTTCCAGCAGTTCACTCTTGTTGCCCTCCAACCAAGATCCCCTAAATGGAGTACTTGCATCTATTGTTACACTACGAAGAAATTTTGCTGCGGCATCTTTCCAATGTATACAAACTTTTGCCACGCATAGAATATCTTTGATTGGCAGAAATGCAAATATGGCATGCAGAAGGGGAGAAGGCAGCCTAACCCACTCCTCCATCTTTGAGGCACGTGAATAGTTCAGGTGAGCGAGCACGTGCAGAATTTTATAGTAACGAGGCTTGAAGCTCAATGGAAGGGGGTTTATTAGAAGGTGCCTTATCATTTTCATCTACAAGTTGCAATACCAATAGCTCGCTTCGTAACTTTTTTATGATTATCTAGCTCACATCAAAGGATACCAAAGGTTAAATCGTAGCACAAAAGGATATTTTAGTCAAAGACATTCATATTTTCAATGTCTTTAGCAATCCCATTGCCAATGTCTCCTTAATTGTAGTATTCCTATTCACCGCTGAATGAGTTTCGATCACCGAATAAGATGTTGTATTTTTAAAGCATTTTGTTGGGATTTTATGGAACATGAAGGAACAGCCAACGGTGAAGTTAAAGGTGGAAAATGTCACAGAACTCCGATTGCTTACAATGGTTTAGAAACTCTTTTGACAGTTCTTTAGGAATAGCTTGACAGTTCTTTATGGATATCGTTTAGCAGTCAATTTCTTTGAAAATAGATTGTAGTTTCACTGTTTCCTAATATCACTGATTGAGAGAACCTTGGAATCATAACCAGTTTGTTTCCCTCTTGTTTTCTTGCACGATTTAACTATTACGGCAGAAATTGTTTATTTGGCAATATTACCCATCATTTTATGGTGCCGTGACCCGGGATCGTTGGAGATTGTTGGAGATTGGATTACGGCTATTTTTGTTAAATACATGAATAGTTGGATTGCAAGTTGCAGTTAAAGTATGGAATCGAGCGTTACATGATGACTGATGTAGAGAAGTTAATACAGACTGGGAACGGACAAAAACTAGCCGTGAAAATGGTTTTTAACAAAACAATACTCATTATTTACAACGTGTCATCTGCATAGTCTTCATGTTTTCTAACAGACCATGTATTTGTCCGATTAATGTAATCTTTGATGACACTAAATTAGGGCAAATAACAAAATGTAAAAACATGGGTTTGAAGTGGGAGAGGGTTGTAACACTTGTTAAAGCTACCCCTTGCACGCAGGAGATTTAGCTGCCACCAGGGCTGCCGAAAGGGAGGGCAAGGGGGCCAATTGTCCCGGGCCCTCGAAGTCTAAGGGTACCATAAAGTAATGAACACTATTTGAAGAATGGAATTAATCAAACGTAGCAAAAGTTTGTCTAAAAAATTGATTTTTCCAAAACAGGCTTGGCTTAAATAACTAGGGTGTTGAGTGAAGCATCTTTTATTTGTCGACAGGTTTGAAACTTCACCGACAAAGCACCCTTAGCAGATGGCAAAAACTCCTCGCTTTTGCGAAAGAATGCGTTATGTTAAAACGCCCTTAGATCTATCCAAGGTCGGATTAAGGCTTTGAGAGACCTCTTGGCCAAAAAAAATTTGTGGGCCCCTAAAGAGAGGTAACGCGATGACGTCATGAAAATTCCATTTTCATAATCATTGAATTTTGAACAAATAACTCGAAAGAACATCATGAAAAATTTCCAAGCTTGCAAAGAGCAAGATCTGTTACAGATTTGATGACTTTTGTGCAAATGAGTATTAGCTTTACCCATCAAACCTGTGTACATTGGTCCTGGTTCTAAAATTTATGCAAGCGATGTGTAGAAAATTTCTGCGACCACGCCCTTTAGAGAAGCTTGAAATGCATTTGAGAAAATTTCTTGCACTTTTATGCCTTCCTTTGTTACGTTTGATTTCATCCATTCCTAAAATGGAATTCATTACTTTATGAGGCCCTTAGATATCAAGGTTCTGGTCCTAGGACAATTTATCTCTTGCCCTTATCTCAGTGGCCCTTATCCTCGAAGCTACATAGTCCCAGTTCTGAAGATTAGGGTTTCCCAGGGCTTTTCAGGAACAAGGGAGCATGGAAACAAATGGTACAGGAACACAGGATCAACATAAATTTTCCGATTGGGAATATGGGAAGATTATTTCTAGTTTAAAGGAACAAGAGGACAATTTTGTTACTTTTCAATGGGAACAAGGGAACACGAGATCAAGTATCCCCTGGGAGACCCTGAAAAATGAGAGATCTAAATCAGCTTATGTGATCAGAACAAACATTTTCTAAAAGCTAATTTTTATGAAGCCATCAATTTGCCACTCTTTTGCTTAAGTCTGCTTCTTTCGCCAAAATTGACAAAGTACACAGCTTGAGAACAGTGTCTGTATCATAGAGATAGGATATTATCCTATCTCTATGGTCTGTATGTAACAAGTAAATTTTGCACTTACGGTACATTTTGTGAACATATATTCTGCGTGCAGTGCAAAGTTTCGTTCCAACCTGGTAACGTTTCTACTTTTTATTCTAGTGATGTTATCATTGTGGACCAAAAAATTTATGATCTAGTAAATTGGCCTTTGTTTTAATCTGGCCCTTGATGCAGCACTTGCTACAAATTCCGCCCTGGCCTTTTCTCTCGATAGAAAGTTAAGTTCTCACACAGATTAGTTACCAGACTGAAAACTTTGTTTTTTTGTGGACAGGTTCATTTTGAAAATTTGCGATTGCGCGCCTAAAATCATGCACTTTTAATTTTAATAATGTGACATGTTATTAAATAGGGACTTCGCGCGGCCAACATGCAAAAGTGCGTGGATGGAAAACTCGAGTGCTCGGGCAATATACTGCGGGGGCGCGATAAAGTTTCCATTCTGGATTAGTTAGATCCATAGAGATGTGAATATAAAAATTCCTCCCTGTTCATTTTTTTCATAATAGACAGCTAGTGCGAGACTATGGAACAATGCCATTGTGAAGTTTTCCAATAGAAAAAGCGAAATAGCGATGATCCAATCAGATTTTTACCTTCAGGATGTGCCTGCATTTGCCCAGACGTAATGGCAATCTTTACACTCGCCAGGTGATTGGAAGATGAACGCATTATACAGCGGAATCACCAGGAGTCATTCCCCTTTGAGTCATTCAGATTATCCACAAAATGGTGTCACCATCTCTTCGTCGCTTGTTCCCCTTTGGGTAAGCAGCCATCTCAAGAACGTGAAAATGAAGATCTTCGTGATCATCATAACCATCTTTATGATTTTACCCTCTTCTGTGGTAAGTTAGTTACATCTACTTCCTTAATTCCAATTTATGTTCAGAATCTTAGGAAAAAATACTAAAACAAAACAAATATTTTGAGTAAGTTAAAGCATGACTGAAATATGGAAACTCAAACATTTGGAAGTTTTGCCTAACAAACGACCTAGTTAGGACTAGCCTGCATTTGGTATACCTTTTTAAAGGAATAAAAACAAACAGTATTTCCTTTTTCAAGTGAGTAGGGCTCACGCCGTTTGTAACCCAGCCCACGTGCACAGCTTATGAACGCAAAGATGGGTTTAGCTAGGCCCGTTTATTTGCAGCATTTTATGTCGATTTCACCAGAAAATATCTTATAATATAATAATTTTCATATATTCCTTTGGCTCCAAAAATATCATGCTATACAAATTTTGAACCTTTGGAAATATTTCTCATTAAATTCCAATTTTTGCTTTTTTTTAATCGTTCTTCGTGTATGTTATAAAAATTCCTGACAAATTACTACCATGTGCTGAATTGATTACTCCAAACATCTTTACAAAACTAACTATTTGATGCTGTAAGATCGGCCTAACGCACATGGACCACTTGCTACCCTACCTTTTTTGCTGGTAAGTCCGTGATTTTGATCCCTGCTTCAAAATCAATGACTATGCAATACATTGCCATGTAGGTGCCTTTTTCGTGCAAAACTATATTAATTGTAGCATCAAAAAGTTGTTTTATATGTTAACTACCACAAAGAGAGAAATGGGTATTTTTGGCGTCTCTGGGCGTCTCTCTATGATTCAACGGTTCATTCGTCTACAAACGCGATGTAACTAAAAGAGGTAAATATCTTTAAAGTTTTTCTAAGCAAGTTTTTATAGGAAGCTGGAGTATCGGTACAAAGTTCAGTTGATAGTTTATTTTACTGCCACACGAAGTTGAAAATGGCGAACGGTCATGTCCCACATGTTGATAGGCCATGGTATGGTACTTTGGTTTAGAATCTCTAAAGTAAAGTAAGGCACATTGCATTATATAATTTTGCTTATTTTCCTTCAAGCATAAGTGTTATTTTAAGATATCGTAGAGAATAATCTGGAACTTTCAATGGATTTGAAAATACTCATACAAATGGCGCACAGACATCTACAGCACTTTCCCCATTGGCAGTTGTTTAGTTTATAGTGGCCAAGCCAAATACCTAAAAAGTAAATCTTAAAATAAAAAACTTTGTTTTTAAAAATGACAATTAAGAGCAACGTTAAAATAGGAAGACATTTCAAAGAGAGGTACGCGAAGGGGAAGTACCTTTGCTTTGCGCGTTTCAACAATGCTTTTTAATTAAACTGGAACTTCCCGCACCAATCCCTTCACTTTCAACTTATGGCAGAACATCAGGGATGTCATTAGTTTTCCTACAGCAAAATTTGAACAGTAAAACAAAGTTTAAGAATGAATATCATTCATTCTGTAAAAAGCAGTGATTGACTTTCACGAGGAAAGGTATGATTTCTTTGACTAACTTAGATTTTCAATTTGCAATGCTTCTTATATTCGTTATTGAATATTTTGAAAATAATTTTTCTTGCTTGTACTTCTTTTATAAGGGTATGTAAAAGTGATAAGGGCATTTCCCTTTGGTCAATTATGATAACATTGTATGATCTCTTAAAAATAAGTTAAAAATAATGACTTGAAGCTACCTAGAGTCCACACTTTTTGGTCAAGACTTTCTTTGTTTCGTTAACATTATTTATCAGAAACTTGATAAACTATTCTTTGCCACCTTTTAAAAACGTAAATCTGGTTTTTGTAAGATTCTCTGTCAAGTAACAGCTTTTTTTATATAGTTGTTTTAAGACATATAATTGTTTGTACCTTTATTTACATTTTGAACCAATCTGATACCTGTGTTCATTTTCTTGATGGCAGAAGCTTCAAAAACAAATCCTTAGGTGCATACCAATTATTTTGCCATGAAACTTTAAAATGTGGCTTCTTGAGGGAAATTTCAACACGTGTTGCCAATACTTTTTTGACTAACTATATGCATTCGATTTCAGTAATAAGCCGAAAATAGTACTAATGAACGAAACTATGCAAAATTTCTAACAATAGTTAATAGATAGAGTGTCAAATATATTCACAACAAATACAAACCCTTTTACAAAGATTTCAGGTAGACGGTCAGTGTTAGAACAAGGGGAATTCCCTGCGCCTTAGTCATTCTGGACCAACGACAATAGATTTTAGGGAGAAATATGGATGAAAAAGTTATAAAAACATTTTTAATAAATAAAAACTTGCCGATCTGTCTTTTAAAACATATCCGTATCTTTATTTTTTTTATCTTGCACTCACTTATTACGGTCTGATTGCAAAAGGCTCTCCTGTATTTAAAATCTTTTTTACCTTTACCTTGAAATTTGTGCAAAGGCATGTCCTTGAAGTAAAACAAGATACGATGTCAGTAGTTATGTTCTGTAGCTGGTCAGTAAAGCAACAAAACTTCAAACGGATTAATCTATATTTTATTGCAGGGAATATTCCAGTACAGGGCCATATTTCACTCATTTTATGCATCATGAAGATTTTCTTATTCAAAAATATCTCGTTTTATTATTACATTGTTTTTATTAAAGTAACCAAACTTTGAGAAATAACGATACAAAAATCGGTTATTGGGTCTCACTGGTTGAAAATACCAATCAGAAAGCTTAATGAAAGATATTGATATTCATTTTTTTCAAAAGAGGATTTTTTGGCGTACCTTTACCAGAATGACGTTTCCAATATTAGTGCATACTTTAAGAGGGGGCAAGAAAGAGCAGTGGCGGATTTAAGCGGGGCAACTAGGGGCAGTTGCCTCTCCCTCACCGAGTTGAAGCAAGTTTGGCACCCCTTTTTGAGAAACTGTGCGCCCCTTTTGAAGAATGAGAATCAGGTGAAAAATTGTTGAGACTTATAGGTTATTTCACTTCAATACAACAATTATTGTGAAAATTTCCTTACAAAGTGAATAGAGAGCCTTCTGTCAGTAGTAAGGGTCTGAAATTGATGTATACAGCGTACACTAGTCACCACTTTCTGAAAATCTTTCAGCGCCCCCACTACCAACTGCCCCTCCTTCAAAGTTGTTCTGGATACGCCCCTGAGAAAGAGTGCGTTAGAGAGATGTCAAGACAAACATTTATAGTTTATCGTGAAGATGGCAGAAAATTAGTTATCTTTCCTTTTAATAACTATTGCAAAGATATGCTTTCATTTTTGTACTTATCATTTGGGGTCCATACTTCACAAGTGCATTTTGAGTCCCTCAAAACTATGCACGAAAACTTTTTTCTTATGAAGGGTTAAAAATTTATGTATTAGCTTACCGAATGAAATTGATGGTTTTTCTATGCCTTAAAAGTTTTAAATGTATTGTGAACTTTGATGATCATCCAATTTGTTTTGCTTTCGGGGTAATTCGTTTCAATTAACGCCAAAGAACACTTGGAATATACAAATTCTTACGTCATAAGATTTACTACCAGAGAAGATTAGATTTTAACTGCAAGAAAAAGTTCTGGACAGTAAACATTGTATGCATCAATCTAGTGGATTGTGAACTTGAAGGCCAAAACTGTGGAGTTAGCCCCCCATCTACTGAGGCCCAAATTTAACCAAAAAATAGCTTAATTTTTTTTTGCACTTCGCTGAAAATGAAAAATTAATTAAGCTATTGGTGCCGAAAAGTATTTTCCTTTGGTCACTAACAGACAAGTAAACTATGAGGAATGTCGAACAAAATTTGCACTAGAAGGAATTTTTACACTTTTTCCTGATATCTTCAAACTTAAAATGGAAGCTTTTTTTTAAGACAGCTATTTGGAAAAAGCATTGTAGTGTAAGGATGGTTCAGTGGTTAGGGGCGCTGACAGCAGACCCAAGGGCTAAAATTTTCACCCAGAGTAAGGGGAGTCGCCAGCTCTCTGTAATTCCAGGTGTAGAAATCACGAAGTATGTTTACATCGAGAGGTGGAAGGACCAGACAATGCTCGATGATCAAATCTTCTCAGTGTCCTAAAAAGTTTGGATACACTCTGGAAGTTTGCAAACTCCCCGGAATACCCATGTTGTATTATATAAAGCGACATATTGGTGCATAAAATATTTGAAGTAATTGGTTCAAGATTATAGAAAAATCGACGTTTTTCAATTAAACTATAATATAACCAATAGTTTAATCCTGGATGGAAAGCAGAACAATCTAAGAACCTAAAAACATATCTTATACACTCAAAAGGCAAAACAAGGTATACATTGTTAGCTGTGCTTATTGCCTTCTTAAACAGAAAGCCCTACATAGATAGAAACCTAAGCATGTTTTTATTTTAGAAAACACAGACATGCCAAATCGACGACTACTTCAACGTTGCCAAGCAAATTTGTGTACCATGCAAACAATGCACTGCTGGAGAACATGAATTCAGGGAGTGCTTTGGAACAGAGAACAGGGAATGTAAAGATTGCCCAGAAGTATGTTGCAACAGTCTTCTTTCAATTTTTGTATAACCTAACTCACTGTTGATTACACTGCATAAATTGCTGTTAATTATAACGTATCTTGAAAACATGGTTGTCTTGATGGGTCATCGTAAAAGAGGGAAATCATTCTCTTTGGAACTGTGGTGGTTATTGGGTACATTGGAAGGGAATCTAAGAACATTTCGAATCTTCGTGAGGAGGACACAGCACTGAAGGGACACACAGAAATAGCTAGAAGTCGCATTGCATGAGGGAGGTTCGGGGACATCCTCCCAGGAAAATTGGGGTTCAAGGTGTCTTCTTGGCTCTGTTTGCCTCAAAGAGCACTAATAGCCAGAAAATTCAGTTGTTTAACTGTTCCTTTCTTATGTAGGTCTTAGGTTCACTAGATAACAAGAAATAACGCTGAAACAAAGTGCATGCAAAACTAAAACTAATTGAAACCAATTTTATGATATTATTCACAAAAATAAGTTAAAAAGTTTCATGAATACTACAGATTCACTGTGTAGAATTGTTTCTAGGTTCTAGTGACTCCTGTTTCTAATGTGTAGAATTTCTAGGTTATTCAGGATGCATGCATTAAGTTTGCTTTGGCTTTTCATAAAACTTTCTTGCAGTTTGTTAGAATAATTATTTCGTTTTGGATCAAATGACACACTGTTATCATTTTTAGTACCATTTATTCGTGTAATATTGAATTCAGAGATATTTCAAAAATAATATTTTCTGGCCTTACAAGAAGCTAGTTCCGTGCTTCCCTGGGAAAAATTTGCCTTTTGGTCCTTTTCATTTTTTTGAAATTAATTTTTTCGAGAAAAGGATAAATTTTCAGGGGATCATTCCGGGCCATATCTCTATACTTTACACTGATTTCCAGGACGAAAAGCAGGATAGCTTCAAATATTGGTTAGAACTGACTCGTACATTATTTGTTGTGCTTTTTAATGGCATTTGACACGCATAAGAACAGCGAATCCAAAAATAACTTAGGCCAATTTGATCAGGGAATGCGCACAAGAAAGAAATTGGAAACTTCTCACGTGAAACCACTGCGCGCTGCTCTAGGATTTCACCGATTTGCCGAAAGGCGGAAAATGTTCACGTGTTTTTCTCTGTGCGCATTTTGATTGGTCAACCGCTCGAGGTCGAGAGGCTGTAAGCCACTTTTACCTGTGTCAAATGCCTTTAATAGATCGACATTCTTTCTCACCTATAATGCCCTCATCCGAACAGGGAGCCGTAGAATGGAGCGAAATTTTCGAATTAAAATTTAGTGTGGGACCGACTGGTTGAAAATACTAGGATGTGACAGACTTTTCTCTGCATCTTCTCATTTGCACCCCACTTCTCAGTAACCATCTATTGCACATTTGCACAGTCCCTCGGATTGCTTAAAAATTCAATGCAACCAAAGAGAAGGCAAGACAAAAACACGGGTAACAAAAGCAATACCCATCCTCAGGGCCTACGAGAAGATTTGGAGGCCTTAAGGCAAAACTGGAAGATGAGACCCTTGCGAGCGAAGAGATCAGAAGCATTTTGCAACCAATAAGCTTAATTCGATTAAATTGTTCATTTTAAGATAGTTTAATATTTACTGCCATAATTTTGCTACTTTTCAATAATTCAATTTTAAAACAGAATTCATTACTTTATGACTCCCTAGACCTTGAGGCCCTGGGTCAATTTGCCCTCTTGCCATCCTTCCCCCTCTCGGTGGCCCTGTCCATCCTTTTCGACAGTACATTCTCACCTAAAACAACAACATCTAGAATACGTTGCAAAAACGAAAATTTGCAACGTAATACAATCAAATCCAGACTCTTTTATAAAGATATTCCTTTTAAACCTCTATGATGTTTCTAATAACGTTTTTAAATTTCTTCAGAATACCTACTTCAATGGGAAGACTTGCCGAAATTGCTCACAATGTGTTACCACGGAGATCAGACCTTGCAATGCATCTTCAGATGCTCTTTGTATTGTCGATAATGCAATAAAGAAAGGTAAATTTATATTAGAGCAGTAGAGAATTCGTCAACTTCCAATTAAATTTCAACTACACTCTTTTTTACATAAACCATTTTATAAGAACACGAGCCACAAATAAAGGTCACAAGTTAGAACAAGTTGAGAACATGCCGAGACTGAGCTATTGTATAATGAATTTTGGAACAATGTTTATCACTTTAGTTCATTTGAAACATTTCCGTCATGTAAAGTTTACCAAACTCTTCCATTTAGTACCATTTGCTATTTTAATGAATTCTAAACTTTTGCTTGGCCGCAGGCGCGCAACCAGAAATTTCAGAGGGCAGGGGTCCAAGACACAAAAAGGGCACTAATTAAATTTCATTAAAGGTCCACCGGGGCATTTGTTTAGGTACACCGAAAATATGAGCAGTTAGTAAATCTGTAAATATTGTACACCAGACAAGGGAAACTGATCAACAGAGAAAAGTTGTGGTGTAAGGTTTATTTTGTGGTGAGGTGTGATGAAGTTTAGGAGGCCCGAAGGAGGGGGGAAATGGAAAAAACAATGCCTCTTGCGAGCGAAGCGAGCAAAAATTTCGCCACCACACCCTTGCAAATAGCTTAAATTCACTAATTCGTTTAAGATGTTTTACTTTTTAATTGTAATTTTGTTACTTTTAATAAATTCCATTTAAAAACGGAATTCATTGCTTTGTGAGGCTCCCTAGACCTCGAGGCCCTAGGGCAATTTGCCCCTTTGTCCCCCTCTCGGCGACCCTGCTGTCATCTCCTTTTCCCAGCGCCAGCTTACTTTTGAATAGCAACCCATCATCTTCCATATCCGAAGACATTTTGCGCTTTAAAATATTATTATTGAATTCTTTGCTTCGCACTACAGATTGGAGGAGGTTGAACAGTTCCACGAGCCTTGCCTTCAGCTGGTTTCTGTCTCCAAGTCTTGCCTTCAGCTGATTTGTAATACTGACAAGGAACGGAACAGCTAAACATCAACTTTTTGTGCCATATTTACTGCTTGCTAATACCAGTCCGAAAATATTTCTCTGCATTCGCTCGTTTCATGCAAAGGTCTTCTATGACCCTGTCAACTATGTGACAGGCTTGAAAAATGTCTTGGTTTTTATTCTTGTAACTTTTTACCAGAGGTCGTAGAGGCTCTATCCCGTTCAAAATCTTGTGCCTTTATTTTGGTTTTTGAGTCGCAGAACCATTCTTCTTCAAAGCCAGTGCGTAGCGCATCATAAAACACGCTGTAGAGTTGGGGCTTGAAGATAGACTCTATTACTGCAACATGATGACGTTCGACCAAACAAGTGCGTGAAAGTTTGACTAAATCATTTATCTGTATTCCTGCGAGGTCCATTACATCTCCGGAGTGTGTCATTTACTGTATGACCAACCATTTTAGCGTAATAGTTAAAATATTCAAGCAATTTTCCAGGAAAAAGGGCACTTTTCCCCTTTTGAGAAAAAGGGCAGGGGTCTGGACCCCCAGGACCCCCCCCCCATAGTTGCGCGCCTGTGGCCTTAAAGATTTTCATCTTATATCCTTTGCAAAGGTGAAATAAAGGCATCTTCATCCAGTGAAAGTTTGAAGTCTGAAATTAATGATTTAAAGACAGACTAAAACTTATTAAAAATTCTCTTTGTCCATTCTCTTCGTTTGCGATATACCGGCTTGGCTTTCCAGGGGGTATCAAAAAACAAATTTTAAATGCAAGTATTGCGGTTAGCAACCAGCCAAATTTTCTCACAGATAATAATGACATCTTCATTTTTCAAGTTTAATTTATTAGAATTATGGTTTCACATAGAAGTTATTTGCAGTCTTATCATATACCAATCTGTGACATAAACAGTCTGTGACAATGCTCTGCCGATTCTTGCAAGAACGGAATGTGTTGAGAGTTCTCCAAAAAATATAAAAGGAACCAAGTCCAATCCTATTTTATAAAAGTAAAGGTATTAACTTGCTGGACTCTCTCCATGTGAAGAGCTAGTCATGATTCATTGTGAAATTTGTGATTTTGTATTCTCAGTCCCCATGTTGATACGATGTGACAAAACCCATCGGCCTCTGCAGATGTTTTATGTAATATTTCTACGCAAGGAACTGAATGGGTGATCAAAAATTACAATGATAATTATGTTTGATTGTTTTTGAGTGTTTTTATTATGCCTTCAAATCTTGCTACAATCTTCCATCTAGGCCCAAATGTTGCTGTTGCTGTTACTGCCGCAATCGCTGCTTCTGCTATTGCAATTGTGGTTATCTTTGCTTCAGTCTACTTCTACAGAAGAAAACGCAAACAAAAACAGCCTAAAGAGTCTCCAGAAGGTAAGTATAATTTGTTTACGCGAAAACACGTTGTTTAAGGACAATAAGAAGCATCGATAAACAAGAAGCATGGGTGGGTGTCAAATTCCGTGATGGGAAAGAGGCTGATGATTCCTTACCGGTTGTATTTACAAAACAATGGAAAATATTAGAGGGCCTATAACCCAAAATTGCAAGGAGATCAGATGCATCATTAGATTAAGGGGGAGTGCAGATTATAAAAGTATTGCAAACGTTCCAACGTTCTCCATAGCCAATCTTTTCAATTAGCTCTATTGTTAACAGTACCAATCATAATTATTTTATGGTTTTATTGCGAGATATAAAGTAAATTTTGTGATGTTAACATTTCGTTGGTTTACCACCAAATCTTTTTTGTTATAGAAACGCCAATGAATGAGAATCTTTGAAGTTGGTAAGCGGAGAAGATTCCAGGTAATCAGATGTGAACGGTTCGAAATCAATTTTTGAAATGCACATCCAATGTAGAGACACAAAAGGATTTTGAGAGCGGAGGAGGGTTTTCAAAAAAAATTTTCATGTTGTGATTTTCGCAAACAGCTGATGCTTCGAGAGAGTGCAGGAGTCATAACCCTAGTTTTGTTGACAATATTTAACAAGAATAGGTCCCGAAGTATTTCAATGCGAAGAGCAGATTGAGCATGTTTTCGGTAACTTACAAACAAAAAGATTTCAATCCGATAAATTGGGAGAACTTTTTAGGTAAGTTTACTGTAAATCTCATGACAAATCGCAAGGTTTGTTTTTACAAATTAAGAAAAAGAATTTTGCTTTTTGATCATTCTGGTGCTTGAATGCTAGGAAGTCTTGAAAATGAATGCCAAATGTCTGTCTTAAATCAACGCGCCTTAAGTAACGATACCACAACTTAAGTCTTGATACATGCGTTTTAAAATTTAACAATAAAAAAGTAGATTTTTTGACACCCCTTTTTTAAGCGCAGTCATCCTTATTGGGATATAAAAGTAACAGCTCAACTTGATGTCACAAATGATGTCACAAGCATACAACTGTACAATCTTAAATTGAGTTTCGATTAAGAAGACCCCCCCACCCGCCCTCAAGCTCCTTCAAGGAAGAGCATGGCCCTATGGTCCTCTTACCGCAACTGTTCATGGATCGAACGACTAGTATCATAAATGTTTGTATATAATTTTTATTAAGTTAAAATCTGTTGTGTTGGCCTCTGGGTCTTTTGTTGCTATTTCATTGTAGTAAACTGCTTAGTGTCATGTACATATGATATCAATATTTAGAACTTTCTGGCAAAGAGGCATGGGAAACCAATTTAAGGGAAACTCGTGTCACCAAAACCTGTTTACGCCCCTGGTTTCCATGCCTAGTTTGTCTAGGGGTCTGGGACACGGGTTGTTGATCACCCAGTTTTTGTTTTCTGTATCTTAAGTACTCGTGATACGCATTATTTAGCTAGATATTACAATTAAATAATGTATCGATCATATAATGTTTATGTTAATCACAAAAGCAAATTCTTGAGAAATTTTTACTCCGCTATTCTTATTTTCAATGGTGTATCAATTGACGTCTGTGTGGTATTCTGTTTGAGCTGCAGAGATGGCGCTAGAGACAAAGATTCAACGTAACTGCCGACGAAGAATGTATCAAACTGCCGACAAAAAATAAAAAATGAGATATCATGCATTTTAGACAGGGCATATGCTCTAACAGTCTAACAAACATGCTAAACTTTATTTCCTCAACAGATCCCGTTAAACTAAGCTCAAAACTTGAAAATTTCGATTTGTACCTTTTTAGAAAATCATGTCACCTTTAAAATTTCCAGGGTTTAAATGTTCGTAACAATGACCGGTCCCTTAAGCCTGATTTACACGAGACGAATTTTTTCGTGCGAAGCGAATTTTTGCCGCGAATGCGCGAAAAATATGCGCAGAAGTGGAGATTAGAAAATTCGCAGCGAATTCGCAGCGAATTCGCAGCGAATAATTCGCTGCGAAAAAGTAGAAACCATTCCTACTTTTTCGCTGCGAATTTTTTCGCCATGTAAAATAAACCAATCAGAACAGCAATTGAAGACATCTGACACGAACCCAAAGGAAGGGCTAGGCCGAATGGTGCTACGCAATGTAAACATATCTAAATCAAAAGTATGCAAAACGACAGAAAACTACGCAATGGTCCAAACAACAACATGGGTGAAGAATGAGTAACCTATGACTAGGCCTAAACAATGCTGGGAAAATCCCGCATCTATAACATAAACAATGGAATGGGACGTTTCTAGCAACAGGCGTCTTTGTTGCAATAAACGATAAAAGCTTCTCATATGTAGTTGGCGACATTCGAAAGTAATTATTCCTGACAATGTAAGCGTAAGTCACTTACCAAAAGATAAAACTCCCCCTTCTGCAGACGTTCTGAATAAATTTTCCGAACCAAGTACCCATTTATTTGACTTTTGCTCGCTTTTTTTCAATAACAACAATCTTCGAACAGACGCCATTTTCTTTGGCATTATTCGCGGCGAATTCGCAGGAGAAAAATTCGTGGCGAAAAATTCGCTTCGCGCGAAAAATTTAAGGCATATATCTGTTACGTTTGGTTAATTCCATTCTTAAAATTAAATTCATTACTTTATGAAGCTTCCCCCCTTTTGGCGGTCCTAATTCCAAGCATCAATCGAGAGTCTCTCGTTTTCGGGTGCCATGCGAAGGAGCGCTCACTGAAGGGACACGATATCGTGCCGGTAGATAGTTAGGAAAAAGGGAATACGACGACGACAATCCAATGTAATAAGCTAGAATTTTGATTTAGCGAGTACTAATATTTCGCCCCGGCATACAGGGCTTCATCAGAGTAAATGGAATGAACGAGTGAATAATCATAAATCAAATCATAAAAATAATAGACCAACCCCAGTGGCGAATCTAGCCTTAAAAATCTGGGGGGGGGGCTAGCCGGGGCCAAACTTCAAGTTATAGGGGCCAACTGTAGCCATGACTTTGCGAATTAGTAGAATGTAAAGCAGTGGCGTGCTGGCTCAAAATTGACTACGGGGCACCGATTTTTAGCGCCCCCTAGAGAAGTATGTCCTTGGTACAGCTCTATCAAGGCTGTTATCATTATGCCAAATAGTTTTATTAGTGGGGTGACGAGCAGCCACGTCCCCTAGAAAAAATAACAGATAAAAATTATTGCTGTGGGCCCCTGAAGGTTTGGGATCCTTCATTATAGAATTTAAATGATTGTCAATAATGAATTTTTCTTGGTAGCTACAGAAAGGAACCAAAATTTCATTAATTTTTCACCTCGTTTACAAACCAAAACGCTTATCAAGGCCCCTAGCTTGTAAATGAGTGCAATAAAGATCGCATTGAGCAAAATAAAGAGAGCAACTCTAACAAAGTCAAAAAACGATTGAGCAGCTTTCGAAGAAAACATTGAATTTTTAATAGAATTTTTTGAAAAAACTGGGGGGCAAACAAACGGCAAAGAAAATTTCTGGGGGGCTAACAAATCTGTTGGGGAGCTTGAGCCCTCCTTGTCTCCCCCCGTGCCGCCGCTCAAAGGCAAATAGTGTCTAGCCCCCCGTCAATAATGGCGATGTTACACGACGTGTTGGAATGCCTATCCAGATATCGTATTGTCTGAGCTTATCACTATGACGACAAATAAGCCATTCAATTCCCTACGCGGGTAGACGGGGGCGTAATTGAAGGTGTCGTCACCGTAGTGAGCATAAACCCTTAGTTTTTCGAATGGTAGTTAGAAACTTTTTTATAAGAATATATTGAGGCTCAAGCTTCACAAAGAATTTGAGTTTCACGCTATATGTCTTGAAATAGACGTATCTGGCCTTAGAGTCATTAAAACTATAATGCTTTGTATGTTCATACTTTTCAAGAATTATCTTGGGCTCAAAATAAAAAATTAGAATATTGAGGCTCAGCAAAAATTGGGTATTCTTACAAAAAAGTTTTTAAAGGCGGTCAAATTTTACTTTTCTTGAATGCATTTCAAGCACCCTCCAACCCCCTGCATATGTAATCTGTCAAAATCTGTGGTTATCACATCCTCACCAATTTGTTTAGATGACATATTTTCAATCCAATAAAATTCCCCAGATTTTGCCTGCCTGAACTTGCCAACCCTACTATTGTAACTCGATCACATATTGTAACCGATTTGCAAACACGATGAACGCAGTAAACTGCGCCGATTCCTCAACAAATTGTGGATCATAGATCATCGATTATAATTATACGGGCTTGGAGCTCACCGCCCAGGAGGTAATGACAGAGGACTGGGGTTTGTCATTTTGAAATATGAAATCATATCTTTAAATTTTCCAAAAACCTTACCCCAAATTTTGTATGCAATGTTTAATGCATATTCTTGAATTTAATGCAGATTTGCGAAAATCCAACAACTCAATCAAGTTTTACTTTTAAAAATGATAGCCCAAAATTTAAGTTCATGCTTAAATTCAATCCCAAAATTTATGACATTGTTTGATTTTTACAAGATCGATACTGCAAAATTTATTTTCTACTTGAAAAGGTACCCAAAAATAGCAAGTCCCGCACCAGTGTATGTGGAAGCTACCAGTACACCCCGGGGGTCCTCACTCAAGGCACGGTCGTCATTGTGCTGTTGCTAACGCAGGGAATCACCACAGCATTCCAGTGCTTTCTTACCGCATTCCTTTCCACTTATTGAGCAGTAGAAGTCTGGCTGTAACATGGTAGATGGCAAGTTCGTTATATTCCTGGTTCTCATATTAGATCTGGTCCATAATGAGGTAAGCCATTTCTCTTGTTTCAATTACATTCAATAAGACACACTGCGTTTTTTACCAAGCCATTTCTGCTTACTTAGGTACATGATTACAAAGCTCGAACCGACTACACCGCCTACTGAGTTCATTCATTGATGTCTGGTCAAGATTTTGAAATTAACGGTCAAAATCCTTACCATCCATTTAGTTTCACATTTATTGTGTTTATATATTGACTTGTCAATGAAAATGAAGCAACGGTTTCGCGGAAATCAGGCCGAATGATTCAATCGGATACCATCATCACCAGTAAAATTTCAACTCCCACGTGGCACGTGATGCTCTGCCACTGTTTTTCTTCACTTCACTTCGATGTTCATCCTCTTTAAATTTGATTAAACTGACATTTTGCAAGTGACTATTTCTTAAAGTTGTTTGTTTTGGTTTTTTTGCTTGTTTTGGGGGTGCATCGACTGGTATGCGATTGATTCTGGATTCATGTAGGCCAACCGTAAAAAAACACAAGCAAGCATGATACCCCAAGCATGGTTGTGTCTTTACGCCGAGGGAAAATACCTTTTGCCTTTCTGAATCACTGCGCGATTTCAGATTTGACAATCATGTTACTATTACATGAATGATTCTGTGGTATCAAAAACGGAGAACAAATCAGAAAACATTAATTTTAGGTGTCTTATTATAACTCTGGTAAGCCTTTTAATTTGCAGCGTACGCTTACACACAGCTGCATTGGTTGCTCAATTATCTGCTGATCTTAAAAAATGAATGTATGTGAATTTGGCTCTCGCGTAAATAGCGTACCCAGTCATACATTCTAGTTACCTAAAATATTTGATAATTATTTTAAATGTATTTTTCCTTCAAAGTATAATTGTTACTTTGACTTTGGTTTAACACAACAAGGCCCCTAGCTTACTTGCTGTGTCGCGTGAAAACTTTATATACAAAGGAGAAGGTTAGCGTGAGGTGTTTGAACGATGCCGAAAGCAAATGTTTGATCATTAATACCTGACAGTAAGCAGGGTTTGCAAGGACGCATTTCTAAATAAAACAAAACCGAAGTTTAACTTGTGCAAATACCACGTTCAAAGAACAATGTTTTCTTTAGAAACGATTCTACGAAAAAGTGGGGGTTTAACAAAAGAGGCTTGACTGGTGATTCCTTTCTTAATTTTTTTGCATTTCTGGCAAAAGTGGGGAGGCTATAGCCCCCCCCCCAGTCACTCCTCAGTGGTGCCTTTCAGATTTACATTTTGTATACGTTTAGATGGAAAATTCTAGAAACTTTTGGGTTAGTTACGCAAATGAGCCCCAGAAATCCTAGTCTTCTTCCATCTACTCCTATCTTTCAAAGGCTCTAAGTTTAAAAGATGATCCTTCGTTTCACTCCATTAATTAGTTTTAGTTTTAATCTCTTTTTACTATGATGACAAGCAACTCTAAGATGGAGGTTCCCTTTGACGCCATTTGATCCGCATTTTGTAAAGAATCGTCACTGAGACAGACGAGGACATCAACGTAGGCTGAATCCGCCCAGGCATGCCCATCTTTCTTGACCTCACTGATAATTTTGGGGACAGACATTCAGGCTCTATGGTTGCTTTCATTTATCTGCAATGGTGATTTTGCTATCTGTCTTGTGTAGCGTGTTTTTTGGGCGAGGGGCATTTCATTTCATTTCATTCATTATCAATCAATCCCAAATACAATTCATACACAAAACCCTACAACTAAGATACATTACAACACTAATAACTAAAAACTAACAATTTTAAGAACAAATGAAAAAAAAATTACTTTACATGATTGAATTTAAGATTGACTGATTGAGGAGGAGCTCTCTAAGTAGGTTAACTAATCTCCAGAGAGCCCCCCCCCCCCATAGGGAGGGCACCGAGAGAGAGAGAGAGAGAGAGAGAGAGAGGGCACCAGTGGCACTGCCCCCAGCTCACTCTACGGTGTTGTCACTTGCAAAGCGAAATTCTAAAATTTAGAGACATTCTCTTTGAATGGGTGAGGGGGGGCCTATAGGATGTTTATTGAACTAGAGATAATAGGATTCCAGGGTTACCCTCTAAAAATTAAAAACAGGCACCCAAAGGACATGCATTTAAAATCAAAAATCAGAGTACTCTTATATTACGTCAAATTAAACTCTATTTAGTCACTTTTAAAAGAATTGTTTATAATGAAAAGTCTGAATAATAGTAGCATAATGTATCACCGTATTCCAATTCATGAGTGGGAAAGTCCGGATGGTTAAAGAAGTAGCTTTTGGAACAGAAAATATGTTTTGCAAGCTATCATCTTGCAATCACCTCGATAATACTGCATTTCATGAAAAACTGACAAGCATATTAGAATTTAATCTGCCACATAATTGACATGAGCAATTTTTGCAATAGTTTTGAAAGAACCTGAGGAACTAAAAATAGCTTGTCCTGGTTCTTAATTACTTGTTGAACCTTTGGGTGACATAATAAAGAGGAACGGCGATGGAAGTACAGTGGGAGAATGAAACTTCACAGAAGAAAATGTAGGAGAAATGTTGCAAATCAAGTCAATGTCCTACCTTCTATATATTATGTTTGTCCTCTTATTCAAAAGACCTAGTTCTATTGTTCTCCTGCCTCATATTCAACTTGGTCTTTTTGGCCATTTTTGCCAATGAATTTGGCCTGGAGGTCTGGAAGCAACCCTGATGAATACTATTTTTTAAACCAATTTTTTACATTTGGTGTTTATAATTGTATTTATCTGCTTAGCTTTTTCTAAATTAACATAAACCTTCTCATATTTTAGGACTTTCACTGTCCCAAGGACCATTTTCTAAACACACTTAAGTACATCTGTCAGAGGTGCAAAGTGTGTCAGCCGGGAGAGTATGTCAATAGGCCATGCAACAGTGTGGATGACACAGAATGCATTTCATGTCCAAATGTAAGTTGAATATGCCCTCCATTTGTATTGCCAATCACAGTTCAAAAATGAGTGTACCAAGTATTGAACTTGAACAAATAAAGCAAAGAATTTTACATTGAGATTTCATAGCACAATGTAAGTGGCATTTGAGGGGAGAGGGGGAGACCAGTGACCATGTGTTATCTACGACCTTCCTCACTCCAAATGCCACAGTACCGTGTAACAAATTGTAGTTTTTAGATTTTTAGATGAATAAAAAAGAATTTCATATGTTTGTCAAAGCCATCAAGTTTTGACATCTTAAAGTATCTGGTTGCAATTCAAACCAAATTTTTTTCTCTTCCATTATTTTGTGAAAAAGCGTTTCTCCCTCTCTGGGAGTATAAAGGGCTACAGGCCAAGGCCCCTTCATTTTCCTGGAACCATGTACGTCATAGCTCTATGATTTGGATATCAATTTAAAGTTGGAATTTATCACTGTAAATAAAAAGAAATTTTTCTCATGAAGATGTTGATCTGAGACTAAATTTCTGGTAAAATACCTCAGGAGCTGTCTTCAATGAACTCATATGATTATATCATGATCACCTATTTTATTTGAACTTACAAACCACAAGTGGTCGAAGCAGCAGGTATTGAGACATGCTAAGCTAGCCACAGGAATATGAGGGCCTAGTCTTCTTGTGTATTAGAGCACAGGTACCCAAGCACTTTTAAAATTTTATTAGCTTTTATTGATTTTGTATTCGGTTAGCTCAAAAGCTTATCACTTTTATCCATTTGCAGAATACATATACAAGAGCTCAAAATCTTGAGCAATGCAACAACTGCACAAAGTGCAAGATAGCTGATTTGTCACCATGCAATGCAACCTCCGACGCTGTTTGCATGGAGGAGAAAGAAAATAAAGAAAGGGCTGAAGGTAATATGCAGGGGCAGATTTAAGCAGCAATGATTGGGAGGTGTTAGATAATGATTGAATTTTGGTGCCACACTCTTCCGGTGACTGCAAAATGATGGAATCACCAAGTTTTAAAATCCCGCTTTCAACAGTTTAAGAAGTTATGAAGACAAATAAAGTAAATTTTGCATTATTTTGTTACTACTGGCTACCAAAAAATGCTTTTCACCGAATCAAAGCAAAACTTTCCGAAGGAGAGGAAGATATTTTGGGCATGCTGATAAATTCCTGTCTTAAAATTAAAATCATTACTTCATGAGGCCCCGTAGAACTCTACTTTCTCTAAATGATTTATTGCACTTTTCTCCTTTTCTCTCTTTTCTCTATTTCTTTTCTTTTATTCTTTTCTTTCATTTTTTTCAAATTTTCTTAAAAGAATGTTTGCAAAATAATGCTGAATCCCCCAAGCATCCCCCTATTTTGCGTCGTCCATGACGAACTGCCGATATAACGAACATGTTTTTGTTTCCCTTCAGAGTTCGTTACATCGGGATTCCACTAGCCTTTTGTTTCTTTTTTACATCTACCTGTAGTAGATTGGTCAATTATTCGGTAATAGCTTCACGTCGCAAACATTAACGCTCAACTTCTCATTCTAGGTGACGATAGCAACCTAAAATGGGCCTTAGGTGGAGTATCAATAGTATTAGTACTCATTGGCGGGGTTGGCGGGGCCTTTTTGGTGGTACACTGTGTCCGTAGAAGAAGGCGGCGACCCCCAGAACGCCGAGATCCACACGACCAAGTAGAAGGTAATTGTTTTTACTTCATTTTGAATCAGTAACATTAACTCGTTTTTATATGAACAATTTATAGCAACACAAGCCTCAAAATTGGTCAAAAGTTAAGCACTAATTAAGAAAAAACTGAGGCTCAGCTAATGTTAAATGCAATTTCATCACAAAAACGAGGATTTTTAACCATGTGTGGGTGTTTTTTCGGTAAATATTAAAGAACTTGTCGGCAAATAAAGGTTTTCTCACTCACTTTTTGGCGAAAAAGCTAGCAGCTCATTGCCTACAACCTTCTAATTTAAGGACGAATTTAGAGCAATCGAGCCTCAGATTTTTGAAAAAAAGTCAGCCTGAACTTAAATTTACTGGTTCTTGTAAAAAAGAGTGTCAAATTGTCCCTGCTGTTGTTAAAAGGTGTTTATGTGGCAACAACACAGAATATGTCATACTAGCAGTTGTCTCGAATCTTCAATAATGTAATCTTCAATCCTTCGTTCATTCGCCACTCTTTTTGCACTTTGTACACTTAAAAGTAACTGACTATCTGCGCCGTTACAGTTGGTAAAAACATTTATGCTAGCCAGAGTTAAAATTAGCTTGAAATGCGCTTCAAAATACTTAGGCCTTATCTTCTGAGTACCAACCATAAGGAGGCGCATCCACATCTATTGCCAATTCTGAGTCACTGCAGTATCGTAACAGTTATTATCTTTTTTGACTTGAAACACCGTTTGTCAATATTGGTCACAGGTTAAAAAGACGAACTGTAGAAGAGTTTCATATTTTTTGCTTGCTTATTTTAGCAGAAACTAGTGCAAAATCGATTCCCCTCTTCATTCAAAGGCACAATTAATACGAGGTGAATTAGAGCCTCGGTCATACCTAAGTATCAATGGCAGAGTAATTAATGATTCTCCCAGAATCCCTGTTGCAAATAGATTAATCTTTTGATCTTCCATCTTGCTTAATGGACAACCCATTTTAATCTTTTGTAACACTTCAATTGTTTATGTTTCTGAATACTTTTATACATTAAATTCTAGCTTTTTAAAACTTCTTTTGCAGTTCAATTAATGTGCCTGACCCGCAAGAAAATGCTGGACAATGATGAAAAAGAGAAGCCACCTTCTTCAAGTAGAGTCTAAACCCATCTCGTCTCAAGACACTCACTATTTAAAGTCTTCTTTGAAATAGAGGGCATGTAGTAAACACTCTTGCAAATACCATTTTCTCCAAAATTTTCGTCAACCTTTCTGATAATCCATACAGGGCCCAAGCCACGAGGGACGATGACCACAACCCCCCCCCCCCCAACCATCCACTAACCACTTCGTTGGAAAACGGATTAGCTTTCTGCAAGGACTTTTGTTTTGGATCTTTAGTTTGCCCTTGGCCCAAAAACTCGGGTTGGAGCCCCTCCCCTGCCAAATCTTGAAATCTTGCTGCCATGAACTGACAAATTTCGCTTGTTTCTCTCACATTATTTGTGTGTTACAATACCTTGTTTAAAATCAATTTTGCCAAATGAAAGTTTCCGTCCGCTTTAACAACCTGCTTTCCAGTTTGCATTCCTTGATTTCAGCGAGAAAATCTGTCTGGCACAGAAGCGAGGGGCTACACCCTCGATAATATTTCTTAAGATCATTCCCTTCAGATTGGTATAGATTGCTTCATTATTAGAGAATACGTGGCGTGAGTAGAGCTTTTACAAAAATATGGCGCGTGTGCGCGGCTGGAAGCTGCTGTGCTGGCACGGAGAGGATTTTCCCCGCGCACTAAAAGGAATGCAGGCCGGCCTGCTGTCAGTTAAATATTTCCAGGTTAAAACTCCAACCAAAACATGTCTGCGTGAAATTTTCCATCAGCAAATCGCTAAATCTTTATATTTTTCTCTGCTAGATTTTTGCCATTCTTTACCTAAGGATACCTTGCTAAGAATAAAAACCTTCATTTATTATAATATAATTTATCGTTGTCCTAAATTCAGATAATGTTGTTTTGTAATATTTTGTATATGTGGTGTTTTTCTAAAGGAGATTTTCTGTCATAGTCACAAAGTAATTTTCGTACCTTTTGCCTAAGTTATACTTGCGAAATTAATTGTCAATGGTTAATTATCTGCAATGTAGATTAGTTCTAAGTTAACAAAATAATTTAATTTGATTTTAGAATAACAATGATACTTCTTATTTAAGTAGCTAAATGCATGTCTGTAAATTTTCGCGTTGTACTGCTTTGTATCTTTTTCTCGTTCATAACTGAACTTGTGTATCTTATTAAAATGTTGCATCTAATTTGCAAATGCTGCTTTGTTTATTTCAAGTCTTCACCCGTTTACTCCTAGCTTTTTCCAGATTTCCCAAATTGCTCATACTTAGTAACTGTTAAAAGAACTGTAAAGGTAACTCATCCGCTAACTAGTATTACAATGATAAAAAAGCAATGGGTACCCCAGGAACTATTGGAGTTTAATGAGGTTGATGCCATCGATGTTTTGATCAGCTCAAGAGACTGGACCCAGAAAAAGCTTCACTGATTGATAGCATGCCCTCAAAAATATTTCAAGAAAATTGTGAAATTTTTGCCCCTTTTCTTCAAAGTAGTTTTAACATATGCGTAGAAAACATCAGCTTCCCTGAAAGCCTCAAAGAAGCTGATATATCACCTATATTTAAGAAAGACTATGCTAAGAAAAATTATAGACCTATTTCAGTCTTGCCATCAATGTCTTAGATTTTTGAGAGACTAATGGAAAAGCAGATAAAGCCATATGCTAAATACCTTTCTAAGTCCTCTAATCTGTGGGAAGGGCATGGGACACAGCATGCCCTATTACGTTTTGTTGAAAACTGCAAAAAGGCATTAGACAACAGAATGAGCACAGGGGCTATTTTTGTAGATCTCTCCAAAGCATTCGATTGCTTAAACCACGATCTATTAATTGCTAAATTAGAGGCATATGGTTTCACAAGAAAAGCTTTAAATTTCATATATAATTATTTGAACTCGAGAAAGCAACATGTTAAAGTTTATGGATCTTCTAGTGAATGGAAGAATATAAACCATGGAGTGCCTCAGGGTTCTGTCCTAGGACCTTTCCTTTCAACATCTACATTAATAATTTTTTTATATTTGTGTCTGACAGTATGATTTGTAACTAAGCGGATGACGCAACTATATATTTCAGTGATCATATGCACAATGTAATAATTAGGAAGTTAGAAAATGATATTACCTTTTTTTCTAAATGGTTCTGGGACAATTACATGAAATTAAATGGAGATAAATGCCACCTGATGTTTTTCAGCAGTATAAAGAATACCAACCTATCGATAAGAATTGACAACGAAGTAATTGCTGAGAGTTTAGAACAAAAATTACTGGGTAATATAATAGATAACACGTTATTCTTCAAAACGCAAGTAACATCCTTATACAAAAGAGCTAAACAAAAGTTACATGCTCTATCCCTTATCGCCAAGTGTATGGATACTGTAAAACTAAAACAAGTTCTGAAGGCTTTCATCCTTTCCCAGTTCAACTACTGTCCTTTTATATGGATGTTCTGTGAGAGACGCTTTAATAATTAAATAAATCACCTCCATGAGATGGCATTACAAATCGCCTGAAAATCAGATGAAAATCTGATTTTACAACACTTTTAGAAAAGGATGATGCTGTAAAAATTCACACAAAGAATTTACAGCTTCTTATGACTGATATATATATAAGACACATAATAACCTTAATCCTGCATTTATGGAAGATATATTTATTGCTAAACGCCTTCAATACAGCCTAAGGAACGGAAGCAAAATGCATCTGAACGCAAATGGGCAAAATAAAAACAAAGGCCCAAGGGGCACCGAAAAAGGCGTATCCTATCACATATGAAACGTGATTGAATTTCATTTAATCCAGTATTTTCCCTGCGGCCTGTTAGGTAAAGAAGGTATTGAATTAAAAAAAAATATAGAAGAGAAATTGAGATAAGTCTAAATGGGTAGAAGTATTTAATGGTATCTACCGCAAAGAAACATTTGCTAGACTTTTCACTGATTTTGCTAGTTTGTCTCTTATTAATTCTAAATTTAATCTTGTTAACGTTCTTATTTACGCGCTTCTCATATTTTCTCTTCGTAAGAAAATTTTCACATTGAACTCTGTAAGATTAAAACCATCCTCAGTAACAACTGTTTTCCTAAATCCTTGGTTGATAAGTTAATCCGTGTCTTTCTTGACAAACAGTTTAAACCTACTACTAAAATTTTCAACCTTGACAGTAGCAAACAGCCTTTCTTGTTTATTTTTCCCTTTTGAGGAAACTATAGCCTTTGCATTAAGAAAAACATTACTAAGCTTATGAAGAAATGCTACCCTGATGCTCAGCTGAAATTCGTGTTCAGATCACCTAAACCAATCTCTAATTTATTTATCTTTAAAGATCGACACACTCCCCTTTTCTGCTCTAACGTTATTTACAAGTTAACGTGTAGTGGCTGCAGCGCCACTTACTATTGTAAAACTCCTTGTGCTTTATTGATCATACTCATTTTGGTTTCTCACCATTTACGGAGCTGATGATCCAACACACCATAGTCTATGTTAGCTAAGATCTGAAAAGAACCGTAACTGACCATCAGAATGATCTCAGAGAAAAATCTAGCAACCCCTATCCACCCCTATCCACCCCCACCCCCCCCCCATGTTTCAATCCAGTTTGGAAAAATTAGAAAGTCGATCTCAAGAAAGTTGGGTGGACATGTCGTGCTTATGTAGATAGATTCCAAAACTGCAAATGGAACGGCGATCGGGCTTTACCAAAAATCCGAAACATGTATCCCATTATAATTTTTTGCACAATCTTGGTTTTTCAGTAAATGCTGCCCGATAGCAGAATCGCAAGTTTTAGTTGTACTTTTGAATCTGCAAGACCCAGTGGCGTAGATAGCGGTCATGCTTGTCATGCCGGGCATGACCATCTATTTTCAGAGTTAACATTTTTCAAAAAATTATATTTTCGTAAGAATAAAGTCCTATTCTCCTGATGAAATAGCTCAGGCCATTCGCCTTTGGAGCCCTATGGTTCCACGCAAGAATATGGAGCCCTCCGAAGGCGCTCTTCTATTGTCGGGCATGACTAAAACAGAGGGTTTCCAATTTAGTCATGCCCATAACTATGAGCATGACCAAACCCTGTGTTTTAGTCATGCCCATAACGCTGGTTTCCTATGTTTGGTCATGCCTAACAATAGGAGTGACGCAGGAGAGAACAAAGGCTGTCATGCCATTTCGGGAGGGCATGACCATCATTATAATCATCAGAACCGCCCTGTGTTATTTCGTGAACACGAATGCGAGGCATCGATGGCCATCAGTGGTGGCCCGGAGCCGCCGAAAATAGACAAGTGGTAAAATAGGAGAATCCGGTCTCAGGCAGAAAATAGACAAGTCCCTAAAATATCAATTTTTTTAAAAACACTAATTTATTAAGTTGTTTTAAGGAGCTAAATAGCATTAGATAGCGGTTTTTACGATTTAGAACAACATTTTAGGCCTTGATAGGAATTCAACAGTTTTAAAAACGAGATTCTCTAATGTTACTACTAGCAGACGAAGTCTTATCGTAAAACTACCCTGTCATTTTAAGTCAAAATTATAAATCAATCTTTTTCTTGTTATACTTGATTGAATTTGACAATAAACGTTCAATATTTTATAAAAAAACAAACGAAAACAGACCTTCCTTTGGCTGGCCTCCGTTAGCTGCTTTTGTCATCCCTCTGAAGGATCCAAATTACCGCGCGGAACAAATTACCGTTCATGATAACCAAACATTGCATCATTACATCAACATTAAAGCCAGCATATTTAAATATCGCTACCCAAGCAACAGTTTGAAGCTAATCGTACTTCCATTCTTCCGTGCTTGCATTTCCCCCGGAGAAATTCATACATTTTAGCACGGATCTCCGTGGCTCCGAGCAGGCAGAAAATAGACAAGCCGGCTCCGACTTTTAACGCAAAAAGTTATTTGCAGAATTTCTTCTTACCTCGCTGTGTTTTCCAGTCTGATAGAGTTTTTAAGCAATTCTCTACAGCATTTACGTCTAGAAAAACCTTTTTATTTATTTCAAACGAAATATTGCCATGTGTTCTAGCACGGCTCCGACTTTTTGTTCGCTCTTAGAATAGACGAGGTCAAACGTTGAAAACCTGAACATGTATCTTGACCCCTGGTGTAAATGCAGCATTTATCCAAGAATTGATATGTTATTAACGTTTTGATGCATTTCCCCCGGAGAAATTCATACATTTTAGCACGGATCTCCGTGGCTCCGAGCAGGCAGAAAATAGACAAGCCGGCTCCGACTTTTAACGCAAAAAGTTATTTGCAGAATTTCTTCATACCTCGCTGTGTTTTCCAGTCTGATAGAGTTTTTAAGCAATTCTTTGCAGTATTTACGTCTAGAAAAACCTTTTTATTTATTTCAAACGAAATATTGCCCTGAAGCAAGGAACCTATGGCTAAATGTTGTTTTTGGGATTTATAGTCTCACAATCGTTGCGAAACATGTCTTTTTAAAGAAGAGAATTGGGAATGCTGTAATTGTAGCAAAAACCAAAAACCATCTAAAAGCAAGCGAAAGAGCAAAAGTTACATTTATAGGCTTTACGTAGCTGTATAGTCTTCAAAGATGTCATCGAATGTTAAAACTAGCAGCTGAAGTTGAGTTGTAAATAAGACGTAACAGTATAATACAAAACAAGTATAATAATGACGTTATAGTATGATAAAACATATATGAAAGATTTTTCTTCTGTTATCTGCCTACCTTATCATCCGCTACCTGCCTATCTTAACAGTGAAAGAAAACGAAAAGTCAGAGCCGGCCTGTCTATTTTATGGAGCCAGGCCAGAAAGGGGGCAAGATTTCGTTTTAAAAGGGTAAATACTGCAAAGAATTGCTTAAAAACTCTATCAGACTGGAAAACACAGCGAGGTATGAAGAAATTCTGCAAATAACTTTTTGCGTTAAAAGTCGGAGCCGGCTTGTCTATTTTCTGCCTGCTCGGAGCCACGGAGATCCGTGCTAAAATGTATGAATTTCTCCGGGGGAAATGCAAGCACGGAAGAATGGAAGTACGATTAGCTTCAAACTGTTGCTTGGGTAGCGATATTTAAATATGCTGGCTTTAATGTTGATGTAATGATACAATGTTTGGTTATCATGAACGGTAATTTGTTCCGCGCGGTAATTTGGATCCTTCAGAGGGATGACAAAAGCAGCTAACGGAGGC